GGGTTTATTTGTTTCGAGTGAGCTGCGCGCTCTCAAGGAGTTTGAGTGGGAGGTACGCAATGCGAAGCGCATCGTTGAACAAGCGGGTACCCGGGGAACGATCAAGATTGAGGAGAGTCCATGATTTGGGTTGTTAGGCTTATAATATTTACGACTGTATATATCTCTACAGCAGAGGCCGCTAAGTGTAATTATATATTAATTTACGAGAGGACGTGGAATAGAGTTCAATGAGTGTCATTTCAGGACTATTCGTGATCAATCCATGTCATGAAAGAGTGAAATGGAATCCATCCATCACCGAATTGCGTTGCATCCAGCATTCACAGCAGCCACTTACTCGGCACACTGGCGCTGACGCTCGTCAAAGACCTTAAGGGCCTCCTCGGCAGCCTTGACACCGCTGAGCACCATGGCGCCAAAGGTAGGTCCCATGCGGTTGAAGCCGTCAATCTCAGACAGCTCCATTCCGCCGATGATCAGACCCTTGGCGACTTCACGGGTGTTCTTGACAATAGCATCCTCGGCAGAGTTCATGTCGAGGCCGCGCATGCCACCGAGCTTGTCAACAGTGTTCATCGACACGAGCCTCTTCGCGCAGAAGGCGCCAAAGGGGCCGTCGTGACCGGTCGTGCTGATGACCAGGGGTGCATTGATGGTGTTGGGGTCCATGCAAGAGTGATCGTCGTGGTGCAGGGTGACGAGGGTCCAGTTGACGACCACGCCGGCAATCTGAGTGTCCTTGGCGTCACCGCTAGCGGATGGCCGGGTGACCAGGTCCTCGACCGCGGTGGCGTTGAAGAGCTTGACGTTGGGGAAGGAGAGGACCTTGGACATCAGGGTGGAGGTGAACAGGGAGGCGTGCTTGACGACGACGAAGTTGGGGTTCGTCGGGTCTTCTTCGTAGGGCACGCCAACCTCGTTGAGGAAAACCTCGGCAGGGCGGCGGAGGATCATGGCGGAGAAAAGCTGGCCGCCGAGCCAGGCACCACCACCTGGGAGGAGTTAGCTTCGAAGGGTACGATTCGTAAAGCGTATACTGACCAGGAGAGACCGAGGCCTCGATAATAGCAATCTTCAAGTCAGGACGAGCTTTGGCGAGCACGTACGCAGTGCTCAGACCACAGGAGCCAGCACCGACAATGACGATGTCGCTCTCGGCATACTTGTCCAGATCCTGAAAGTAGCGTCTGGTCATAGCACGAGAGACCTGGCTCTCACGGATAGGAGCAAACTTGAAGTCATCCCACTTGCCGCCGAAGTGGTCAAGGAGGTGAGTCTGGGAGGTTCCAGAGGCAGGAACGGTCTCAGGGACAACCTTGGCCTTGAGGCTGGGAGATGGGGCCACTGCGGGCTCAAAGATGGCAGCTGGGGGAGACATTTTGCGGTTTTTGAAAAGTCTGTAACTGGTTAGCTATTCCACGGACGTGGAAAACACAGAACAGAGGGAAGGCATGATCCTTTCGCTGGTATTATCCAGATCAAGTTTTGACCGTATAATCTCAGAACGAACCCATCCATTGGCACCGTGGCTCTCTTGGATGCACTCCAGTCAAGAGTAACAAGCTCCAAGAAGAGATACACGTTGTTGTGACAATGGATGAGAACGAACACCGGCCCACGCCCAAGATTTACCTGAGATACCTTGATCATTGAATGAACAGCCCAGCCAAAGTGATTCCATGGCTTCCATCGATAGAGAACGACCCAGAGGGTCGAGTCACAGGTGTGTATTACATTGCAAGTGGATAGCGATGGCCTATAAAGTTGTTAGCGAATTACGAGAGAAATCCAAGTGAAGCGAGGAGGACTTGTAATAGCTGTTGATATAAGTCTTCTGGATGGGCGATAGTGGGAAGTGTGATGAAGAGAAGAGGGAGAAGATGAAAAGGTGGGGGATGGCAGGAGGGGTAGTTTAAATAGTGTGAGTAATAGCATACACGCAGCCAGACAACTACCTACATTCTGCATCGTACCTTGGGTAAAAGTTCTATCATTTCCCTCAATTGGATAGTTTCATTTATAATTGACGTATTATTAACGGATCAAACACAACTCAAATATGTTAATAGAATTCAATTGGTGAATCTAAACCCTATCCCCTCCAACGACTCCCGGAAATCCCCGCCATTGATGTGGATCAGTTTACCCGGTGAGCTTCTCAAGTAACCGAGATCGGCGTCATATTGACGGGATAGACATCATAATGTCTACGATCGTGTTAACCCACTTGATTCGATGACTCACTTGATCATCGAGACCATCGAGGGACTCGAGACGTAAGGTGATTCTGTGGATGTGCGTCCTTTGACCCGCTCTCCACCAGATATGAGGACTAACGGAGTACAACGATCCGATTGTCTACTCCATAGCATTCAAACATCCTGTTGTTATATCCTAGCTGTACTGGGAGATTGGTAGCAGATCTGGGTACCCACTGGCACGCCATACTCGTTGATCCAGTTTTTCCTCTTGCCAGCCTTCTCAATCGTCTCCGCCCGTTCCTGCAGCATATGCCGCCCAGTAGCTTCTGCTGCATCGTCACTGAAAATTATCCGGAGACACAACATATCGCACAATTCCTTCTTCTTCACGGTAGACGTCCAGGTCGTCTCCAGTTGAATTCTCTCGCCTGTCTTCGGGACCCGGCCTGCAGGATACACGTCCCCGATCAGAACGGCAACTCGCCCGAGGTACTGACACCACCATACCTCCTGCGCCGACACGCATCTGCTAAGCTGATGGTGGAATGTCTGGTCTGTGGGAGGGAGGTCGCCCTCCCACCGCTCGCAGAGGAGCAGCGCGAGCAGAGTGCGATCAACATGCGTAAGGTTGTTGACTGTCGCCAGAATCCCACTGGTTGTGCAGTGAACCGCAGCTGCGGACTGGCAAGCCCGGTGCACTTGAGAATGCGCGTAGAGCATGTTGGCCAGAGCAGTTATTAAACTAACATTAAAGGATTCTGGTGCTTGCAAAGACGCTTTTGGTGATGGAGAAGTTGGCAATGCCTGTAGTAGAAGGTCCCTGATTGCCTTTGCAGATGGAGGCGCGTATGGTGACGTCGCGGCTAGAAGAGGGTGCTCTGCTCGAATCTCCTGTGGAAGTCGATCAAACAAAAAGCCCTCGCGTACTCCTCCCTGACAGAATTGTATATGCGTAATGGCAGGTAGAGCATCCATGATGACATTGACCAAAACAGCCACTGCGGGGATCTGCGATGCCCGCCGCTTCGACACTCCAAACACCCGGACTTCAGAATCCGAGACCGTCTCTAGAACGGATGCCGTATCGTGGAAATCCTCCCTGCGCGCTCTGTAGCCATTGATAATCGGGATCGGGTACGGGTTGACCCTAGACTGATTCATGAGCATGTATCCCCAGCCTCTAAAACCCCCACCGCAGAGATACAAATCAAATGTTCCACTGCGATTAGCAGCCTCAACGAGATGCTCAGGAAGCTGTAGACGCGCGTACGCATCCTGGAAATTCCTCGTCATCTCCTCCTTCAACTTTGCCTCGGCGTCCCCGCCTTGCCTCCTCGCCTCTTCCCAGCGCAGCTTCAACGCCGCCGCCCCGTACGGGAAACTGAACGAACCCAGGGGACTCGTGCTCACCACCCCGTCCTCCTCTGTCACCCAGGTAATCTGCGTACTCCCGCCCCCAAGGTCCATCGCAAGTCCCGCGACAGAATGCGAACTACTTGCGATGCCCAGCGCCCCGATACGCCCCTCATCCTCTTTGGAGAGCATGCGCACCTCCCAGCCCGTGCGGGCCTTGATCCGCGCCCGGAACTCGTCAGAGTTGGGTGCGGTGCGTGTGGCCTCTGTAGCGAGGATGTGGATGTTGCCCGCGGGTACGCAAAAGTCATCGCAGGTGATTTTGAACCGCACGAGGCGGTCCACAACCTGCTCGATGATTTCTTGCGAGATGGGGCCCCGCACCCTCTGCCCGTTCTCTGTCTGCGAGAATTGGGCCTCGTAGAGGGAGATCCCCACCCGGTCTTGGTAGATTGTTGGCAGCAGCCGGGCTGTGGGCGGGGAGATGTCGGTGATGGAGAAGCGAATTCCATTGCTGTTTTCCGGTCAGGTAGCTGAAAGTGAAGATAACTTATGCTCTGGCGGCAGACGTAGCCGGAGAGTTCAGTGCTCATAGCTTACCTTCCCATGTCCACCAGGCCATACAGGTTTGCCGTATCATTTTTTGATTCCATACTCATGTTGACTGCTCGAATCTCAGAGACCGATTATGAAATTCGATGCACCACAATGATGTTGTTATCCAGAAATCGGTACCACGAGCGCTTTTATGGCGACAAAGGAGCCACCAGAGCGACCTCCCAAGAAGATGAACCTTCTTGAATCCACAAAATAGGAGCTGAATACGATGCACACTCTGTGCCTCTCGCTGTAGAACAGTTGTTAAGAATTGACTTTGACCATGTGATGGAAAGACAGGATGAGGTCAATCGGAAAGTCTGCCCCACTAAGGAAACACACGCAAGGAGCTACTATCACTGGCAGCGATGCAGCCATATCCAGAGCGCTGCAACAATACAATCTCGAGATCTAGACAAATGGATTATAGAGATCTGTCATCAAGTCTAGACATAACACGACTTTGTTTTCAATCATATTCTTATATCGTCCTAGCCATCCATCTTAGCTGCATATCATAGCCCGTCTCGCATTTTTATATAAACAAAGCCGTCATCATAATATCTCATAGGACATAGCGGAATTTAGATCCATAATTCTCCTCTGCCACGCTAAAATTGTTTCCATTGGACCCTCCTTCGACAGATTCCTCGTTCCTGGTACCATATTTCCGGTCCAAGCGTTTGTTTTCCCAGACCAACAGACACCGCAAAGTGAGTGCTAGGATAGTCGTAAATATCATAAAAGCGGCGCAAACTGATTGTCCCCGAACGTATCGAGGGGCATCTCGTTCGTAGAAAATGTTGGTGCCCAGAAAAGGGCCACATTGTCCGACCAGATTGAGAATTACAATCCCCATACCTCGTCGGGTGTCGGATCCTTGATTATCTAGATGGGCTGATTAACCTCTGATCAGACGATATGAAGATGGTGATGACGCACTCAATGCCCAAGGAAGTATATTAGCGATGGAGGGGAAAACTCCCGCTGCTGCCAGAAACACGCCGAGATAACGGACCCCAACTGAGGTGCACGTGGCGAGGAGCACATATCCAACAGCCCCAATGAGCGACAACAAGGCAATCATCAGTCCTCGCTGTTGCAGTCGATCGGCCAACCAAGTTGTGGCAATTGTAACAAGAAACGAAGCAAAGTATGGCGGCGCTGTGAGACCCTGGGCGTTGATCGACGTGAAGCCCATGTCTTTAAGGATAGTGGGAAGGAATACAGGGAGCGAAGAAAAGCTCACATTGCAGCTGAAGTACATCAACTGGAATTCCGTATCAGTACCATTCGCTCGAGTATCAAGGAAGCACAACATACCGCCGTGATCCAGGCTTTGACATCCAACAGGGTACGGCCAATATCCTTCCAGTCAATGCCTGCTACACGCTCGCCCTCACCGCTTTTCCGGAGCCCTCTTGCTCGTGCAACCTTTTTTTCTTCATCATTCAGGAAACGGGCAGACGACGGGTGATCCGGCAGGAAAAACCAGGCAAGGAAAGCGGCAAGCAAAGAGGGTGCCCCTTCCACTAAGAATAATAATCGCCAATTGGCCAACTTGGAATGGCCAGACGTGATTCCATACGCCAAGGCGCCTGCAAATGTATTGGCCAGAGGCGCAGCAGAGAAGAACAGCCCAATACGCAGACCGAGTTCGTGACGGCGATAGAAGAAGGACAACAGATACGGTGTGCCAGGGCCAAACGCGGCTTCAGACACCCCAAGAAGGAAACGGAGGGCCATCATTCCCTCCCAACTCTGTGCCGCAGCTTGACAAGTCGCAACAATGCCCCTGGAACATTTAGACGGTGGTCACACACGGAACCGAGTCGTCATGTGGCACTTACCAGCTCATTACAGAGATCGCTGCCCAGCGATGAGGTGGCAGAATCTTCCACATCAAGGCTAGAAACTCGAACAGCGTGTACGCGATGTAGAAAATCGTCAGAAGCCAAGAATAGCGCTGTCCGCTTAGATGTAAGTCTTGTTTCATCCCAGCTATGTATGCATTGCCTGTCTAAAGTCAGATGTAAATCTTGTTCCACTCCAGTCATAAAACAAACCTATGTTAGAGCGATCGAGGAGCCCCAAAAGATCTAGGCTCAATGTCCTCGTTAGGAACAACATTTAGAGTCGACAAGGCGGGGGGAGAACTCACACAAGAACCCCATGAGTGTCGGAACCCTTAGATCTAATTTCCTCAGAACTCGGCGCTCGACAGCCGGGTCTATAGTAATGACCGCTGCAGGGATCGAGGGCAGTGCTGTGTCGCTGCCTTCATCGTGATGGACCGCGCTCTGTTTCTCCATGTCAATGCCGGGGGCTTGTTCAATGGCGTCTTCCGTCTGATTCTTAGGATTGCCATTGTCCTCGGAAAGCGCCATAGCCGAAAGTGTTGCTTAGAATGAGGGTATTCGCTATGAATGGAAAGGAGGCGGCAACAACAGATCGAAAGACATTGTGAGAGCTGTAGGAGAACGAGGGCATGATGCGCTTTTTAATTGCCGAGCACGCAGTAACATCGGCAATACTGGTGTAACAATGTTCCGATCTATTAAGTGATCTGCAGCATTAGGACCAGGACCGCGATCCTCTTGTCTCATAATTGGGCCAGAATGGCTGAGATTCGGTGAGGGGGTTAGAGGGAAGTGTGACGCCATGGAGTAGGCAATACTTGAGGAAAAGTGGATTCATACATAATCGAGGTATCCTAATTATCCGAGAGTAGCACCTGGGCTCCATATTGGATCTCAATTGGACCCCAGCCATGGAAAAGAGCTTTTCAATTCACGTAAATAGCGTTATATTCAGGCTTAGAGTGCGGAGATACAAGTGGCGGGTCGAGCGAAAGCTTGTTCTTAAGCTCTCTTAAGCTCCCTCCAGCCGTTCGTTGAGCCTGGCGAACTGGACAAGTCTATATGATATCTCATGTCGAGAAGGCTAAAGATTTATAGTTACAGGGATGACTAGATTCGCATTTAAGGTCTTCACTCCGTAATGTCCTTGATTCCTTGCAGCTTTCCCATCTCCCCAGCCTCCGTTCGTCTTCTTCGTGGTCGAGCGTCCAGTAAACCCCGATCTTGGTCGTGTGCCTGACTTTAATGCCCGATCGGCAAGGTGTCAAAACTGCGCTATGAGTTCCTTCCGCCAACCGCACCCGGTGTCTTTCTGGAACTTCAATTTTCCCGCGTCGCGTTGATAGCTAAGCATTCATCTAATTGCCCTCGCCTCCAATTACTACGCCTTGGAGGTGCCCTAGTCCACCTTCTATATTTCTTTCTCTAGTTGGGCTGAATATTGTCATTTTTGCGACCGCATTGACACCTGATTTACGATTGTCCGTCGATATTTGGTCAAAATGGACGACCCAGCGAGCCGCGTCCCGGCGCAGTTGGTGAGTCGTTCCTATAGGAATTTTGGGGACGATTCATTGCATAGTTATTCGAGGGCAGCATGCTAACTTAGTGTATTTGATTGTCATAGCTGCCGCACATGCATCTGGTGTCGCGCCATCGGTACCCTTTGATGCACATGATGCCAACAGACACCGTCGTCGAATACCTCCTGTCCGCGTCCAAGATCGTTCGCGAAGCCCAGCCGATGCACTGGACCTTTTTAGATGGACCTCAGGATGGAACGGTGATGCTCACATGGCAGCCTCTTAACCACCTGGGGACAAACTTCGCCAGCGATGGTTACGTCTGGGCCGACGTGGAACAGGCCTTTACCTTTGAAGCTCGTGGATACGTATGGCGCTTGTCCTATGCATTTCCGATCCTCTGATTTTGTATGCTGATGCCTGTCCGTGACAGATGGTGGAGATGTGGCTCCATCGCAGCGGTTACCACCCGCCCAATGAGTCTGTGGCCATCCACTGTCGCAGACGCTACCGGCTGTTGCCCACGAAAGTCCCCAACCCTAGCCTTCCCCCGCCGGACCCGTCACTATGGATCGTGCACTACTCCAGAGCACCTCCTACGGAGCATATTCCAGCAAATCGGATTCCAGTCTCTCCGCAAGTGCAAAATATGCTGGCTCAACGTCGTTTCCTCCAAAGCCAGGGTCAACTGGCGCGCAAAGACTTTATGCTTCATGATCGGAACAACTGGCCCACAATCAACTTTCCCCCACAGATAGCACCACAAGCACTTGCCCAGCCGGCGGGGCCATATCCCAATGCCATGGTCGGCCGCCAGCCGTTCTATCCCCAGCCCGGCCAACCTGTGCCAGCGCCGGCCGCTGCAGCTCCGGCCAAGGCACCCCGTGGACATCGCGCCTCAACTGCGGCGATGACCGCTGCAGCAGCTGATTTTGCACTCGAAGATGAAGACGTTTCCACGGGCGACGTGATGGATTTGCTGACTCCTCGGGAAGTAAGCAAAATGAGATATCAGCAACACCACGAGTGGATGGAAGAGATCTTCGCCTCGCCATATGCTATCAGCCAGATTACCCCTGTTTCCTTGGGACTCGGTCGCAAAGGAGAGCTGGAGACTCTGACCGCAGGCTTTTTCGATGCACCCGTCGGGCCTGCAGGTGGCGATTCGAAAGAAGGCACTGAGCCTACTCAAGCGACGAAGATGGAGCCCGAAAAAGCAAAGGAGTTTGCCGACCGGGTTGCCAAAAAGGTCGCCGACATGACTGCAGAAATTGAGAAGCTCAAGAAGCGCCATGCCCGGAGGATGGAAAAGTTCAATCGCACCTCTCTCCTCAAGGATGCTGAACTCCGACTTAGGGATGCGGCAGCGAATCCCGAAGACACTGGAACAGAGATTTGGAGGATGGAAGGTCGCAGTGAGATGATGACCGAAGGGGACGGAGCTGAAGTCGTTCCCGTTGAACACAAGGCCAAGTACAAGGTTGATGAGATTGTCCGAGAAGTTGAAACCTCGTGGCGCAGGAAAATCGTGCCGGAACCCAAGGTCTCCTGCGTACAAAAGGGCGGCTTGCTGGAAAAGATTGAACCCGAACCTGTTCCAACTGCAGCTGATATTGATATCGACATGGGCCATACGGACAGCAATCTCCTTGGCCAGTTCGGCGCGCCCGCACAAGGGGCAGCTCCTGCTGCTCAGGGACAGGCGGTGCCAACAGCCACTGGAGCGGCACCTGCTGCACCAACCGCGTCTTTGGATGCCGAAATGGACATGGGTGACGGCCAACCCACGAGCACTGCTGTTGGAGAAACTGGCGACTGGGTAATGGTGAATGAGGACAACAAGAAGGATGACAATATGAATAAACCGCCTGGCGACATGCAAGCGGGCGAAACGCCGGGAAGCGGATTACAAGGACTAACGCCTGTTCCTGGAAGTGCGGGCGATACCGGCCTTGACAGCGCGAATTTCGACTTCACCAACATGGACAGTGCCGGAGACGCGTTGGCAGCATACACCGAGCAGAACGAGGGTCTGGATCTTCCTGATCTGGATAACTCGGCGTTTGGAGATGCCTTTCACGCATCGGATAATGAGCATACCCATCACCATGATGCAGATGACATGTCGTAAACGCGCCCGGAGGTGGTTGCATTTCTTTCTTGTTTGGATGTAGGCTTTCTCAATGGGTGTTGGATGGTTCTGTTATATGCTGGGCGCTGGTTGATTTTTTTTTTTATCCTCCCCTGCTGCCCACTCTTTCCAAGGAAAAGAATTTGTTGTGTTGTACGATCTAGATAGGAGACGCACATTGCTATAATCGATTCCTGACGGCCTGTATCAAGGCCGCCGTTCTGCACTCTGGCATCGGTCCATCTTATAATACAACCTATGCTTTACGTCAAGGTTTGGTTCGCACAAGGTCTACGATGTGTTAAGAGTCCAATGTTGCGCGGGTGCCAACCTCTATCAGTCGTCCCGCGCACATGACGGCGTCACTGGATGAACATGATTGCAACACTCACTCTGAGGTCTGAGGATGAATCACAAGGCGGGAAGATCCGCATGACAGGACGGTAGCGGAATATTCATTTAATGACATTATTGCTCCAGTGAAGCTTGAGGTGGAATATACTGCTATGCCATTCTCGCATACAGCCATTGTGTTCCTTTCACTATACAGTGAGCTTCCATAATTTCGTCGTCTTTCGAATCCTTACAGCCGTTATACGGTACAAGTTAATCGCTGTACTTTCATCGTCTACGTCAGATCTACTACTTGGTGTTTTGCTTGCCGTACGGCGGTGCATCGCCTTCTACTATTCTCTCACTCGGTGTCGTTCGCGTATCAGTTCAGGGTCCCAAGTAAAGGGCGCTCCTCGTCTACAAGCAGTCATCATCGTCCAGGTGATAGTCGATATGTGCTTCCTCGAAGTTGACGAGGGACCCGGGCCTGGCGTGCGAGTCGTCGAATACCGCCCCGGGACGCTCCGCGTCTCGATTCCAGGTCCTCGTCGGCGCAGAAGCAGCTGCAGTAGCGGTAGTAGCAGCGGCAGCGGCAGCGGCAGCTCCAGCTCCAGTTCCAGTTCCAGTTCCGGCTCAAGCAGCGGCAGCTCCAATCATCACAGTAGCAGCAGCAGCAGTAGTAGCGACGATACTACCATTGTCGTTGCGTCGCGTCCTTCGCATCATCATCATCAACACCACCACCACTCCTGGTATGCGCGCTCAAAGTCACCAGAGCCAGAACCATCTTATACAACTGTGCAAAGAACGAGAGTGCGCACGCGGTCTGAGTCGATTATTCCTGTCGGAAGGAGGTTCTTTGATAGCCGGCCTCGTCCACCGTCTCCGCTGTATAGATGTGTAAGATATGTTGAGCCCGGGGGGTGGGGACGATCGCGTTTGCACCATCCGGGGAGAGTATGGGAGGAGGAGGTGAGATATGTCTCTGGGAGGGGAGAATGAATCGGGTCGTGTAAGATGGAATTATCATACTCAGTTATACACGCTATGAGTTTAAATACCATTCTTGCCTTTGATTGGTAGAGATGATGATTTGTCGCATTGTTCCAAGATAAAAAGATTACGCTCCCGCCATGATCTTCAAGAACCCACTCCATAGACTATTAGACTAGGGCACTGGGCTCGAAATGCATCACAACCCAATACCGCAACACGACACTTCCCACGGCTCCAATGCTTGAACTTAACTCTAAATTATCCATCAGAATCAGATCACACACATCATGGAGCATCTCGACATCGACCGCATTCGGATCATGACTTCAGCTTCCGCTCATCCCGTGTGACGTCATGTACGAGCAACTGCGCCATCAGTTAAGATGAACACCCGTTCGTCATCTCCAAGGGATATCCATCTATCTGTCTTGTGTCACCGTACATCTGTCTGCAGTGACTGAGTCGATAAGAGAACAGCCTATTCCTCTGGGTTGTATAGCATTACCGTGTCGTAACTCACTTCAAGGAAGGCGCATTCCTGCTTT